TTAAACACGGTTATGTTTCACATATTCGATTGATATACAATGTGGAATGAATTGGGAGAACAAGAGCGACAAAACAATTGCGAGCAGTAATAATTTTGATCACTGCCGACGAGTGTCTTGATATTCCTTCTTTATGAATTCAACTAAGCTTTGAGATGAGTCCAGCAGTTTGGCATATGTTGCTTCACCCTAAATAATTATCATAAGTAACTAAGATGAGGCATATTAGAATAGAAGCCCCCAGGGTACGCTGACTCCTAGCCTCGAAATTTGTTAATCGACTGCATTGTTTGTATTTTTTCAATAAAACACGAGGTTGACACACAATATTTATTGTATAAAAGCCAACGTTTCGGCAAATTTCCCTTTATTTTAATCCTAGAAAAGTTCACATAAAATTCATATTCGTGCCAAAATAGATTTTTCTCACTAAAAGATTGATTACTTAATTAACTCGCTTTTTAAAGAGCTCACTATCTTGACTCGCTTTTTAAAGAGCTCACTATCCAACGAGGTGATTGTCCTAAGCCCTGTTAGAGAAGCAACCAGTTAAACGATCACAGACGAGGTGTGGTTCTTATGATTGAACTGTCAACCTACTATAAGCAATAAGCACAAATCCAAGTCATCGTCATCTTCTGTAATAGAAAGTCAAATATTTTCGGTTTTCGTCAAGTGCTCCACTATGGATACACAGAAAATGGTTTTGATATCTGTTGAAAGCCAAACATATCTTTGAATGTTCTGAATAACAAAAAGAACGGAAAGAGAACATAAAATTAATCAGAAAACATGTATCCCCAATGATGCTCATTCGCACAACCCGGAAACTCAGCTGGAACTCAAACTCGCTTCTACATATGGCCGGTCTGTTGTGCTTACCAAATACGCTATCGAGGACTTCGCTCTGCAACGTCACGTAAACAATTTCTCCTAGATAATATTAAGCTAGTGAAACCAATTAGAGTGTACTTCCAAGAAGCGGGTTAACCAGAAGATTAGATTGTTGATGACCATTCAATTATGATTATGGAAATGTTATTTGGCAAAATTCCAAGAGACACTGAAAGCATCCCTCATTCAAGCAAAGCGGTCATGAATATAGGGAAGCAGAATGATTTAAAC